TTGCCTTGGCACTTTATAATATGCCACAAAATTCGGTAGCCAATTCAATCGCCGTTTACAAAATGCCGCGGCAAATTGAAGTATTTAGTTCTTATTCTTACCACGCGAGGCGCTGCTTATAAAAACAAGAAAAATGGCGTCGAGTAGTGGTATTGTGATACTAAAAACGTACGTATTCAAAGGAATTTTCACAAAGTACTATTTTAGAGACATTTACTATAGTGAATTGAGGAAATATTACGATTCACAAATAGGAGCAGTGAAAAAGCCGTGGACAAATGAAAAAGTTTTTGAGGTTATCCTGCACGTAAAAAACGCTAAGGTGACAATGGAATCTGGTGCTCGGAGGACTGCTGCGAAATATTATTGGTATGAAAAAATATAGTGTTATGGCTTCGTCTAGGTATAATTAAAATGTTTTTTTTTTTATGCATAACAAGGCAGGTATTTAACCACAATCATATCTGATATTAAGTGGGATGCAGTTTAGGAATTAATTAAAGAACTGATTATCGTAACTTATTTTATGTCATACTTTTATGTACCTACTTACCTATTTTATGTATTCTTTATTGAAAGTACCTACCATATTATTCATAAAAGTTGTATTATTGTTACTTAGGTAGATAACGTCATCAGTTTAAATTAGTTTAGTGTTGTTTTTGTTACGAAAATATTTTAATTGCTTTAGGAGTAGCACGAATTTTAAGTTTGTCCTATTTTAATACTAGATTCCTGGTTTTTCTGAAATAAAGTCTGATTTGTCCAACATGTGTTTTATGATGGTCACCCTATTGCAACAATCATAGTCGAAATTTTATCAATTGAACGAGTCGCCAATTTGCCTTCGGCATTTCATAGAACAGCGAGCGTTTGTAAAGTACTATTTTAGAGACATTTACTATAGTGAATTGAGGAAATATTACGATTCACAAATAGGAGCAGTGAAAAAGCCGTGGACAAATGAAAAAGTTTTTGAGGTTATCCTGCACGTAAAAAACGCTAAGGTGACAATGGAATCTGGTGCTCGGAGGACTGCTGCGAAATATTATTGGTATGAAAAAATATAGTGTTATGGCTTCGTCTAGGTATAATTAAAATGTTTTTTTTTTTATGCATAACAAGGCAGGTATTTAACCACAATCATATCTGATATTAAGTGGGATGCAGTTTAGGAATTAATTAAAGAACTGATTATCGTAACTTATTTTATGTCATACTTTTATGTACCTACTTACCTATTTTATGTATTCTTTATTGAAAGTACCTACCATATTATTCATAAAAGTTGTATTATTGTTACTTAGGTAGATAACGTCATCAGTTTAAATTAGTTTAGTGTTGTTTTTGTTACGAAAATATTTTAATTGCTTTAGGAGTAGCACGAATTTTAAGTTTGTCCTATTTTAATACTAGATTCCTGGTTTTTCTGAAATAAAGTCTGATTTGTCCAACATGTGTTTTATGATGGTCACCCTATTGCAACAATCATAGTCGAAATTTTATCAATTGAACGAGTCGCCAATTTGCCTTCGGCATTTCATAGAACAGCGAGCGTTTGTAACCTGCCGACGCCGTTTGTAAAATGCGGAATCATACAATTTGCCTGCGACATATACATAGAAATACTCTAGTCTATCATCATCATCGTCATTATTATCATCATTTCAGCCACAGGACGTTCACTGCTGAACATAGGCCTCTTCCAATGATTTTTATGTTGACCGGTTGGTAGCGGCATGCATCCAGCGCCTTTATAAGGACCTGTTACCTTAATGAGGGTTTTCGCGAATGAAAAATCCGCCAGATGGCAATACGTAGACGCGAGGTCCAAATGCTGCATGATTGGTTATTTTTGACATGACATTGACAGATATGTCAAAATCCACCAATCACGCAGCAGTCAGACCCCACATCCACGTCCCGCCATCTAGCGGATCTTTCATTCGCGAAAACCCTCATTATGAGGATGTCTATTCTAAGACGTTTCACGCTGCGCTTTCCGATACGTAGCCTCCACTCCAGAACCTTGCTGCCCCATCGGTTACTGATTTACTTATAGATAAAGATTTTCTAAAGATAGAGTCACATGTCAGATCTCATTACTCTCTTTCAAAGAACTTCTAGATTAAAATTTAACCTTTTTAAGACTTTATGAGAACTACGAGTAAAACCAGGCCTGTTCATCTCCGCGAGTTTACATCGAAAACAAAACACGCACGATGGCCCACCTACAGGATACTATTCGACAAGGCCTCACATACGAGCGAACATTGACTCACGCACGCGTATTCTTGTGTATGATGGAAGAAAATAAAGAAAATGGTGTACTAAATACTGTGCAGTATTTAACTGCCTAAATAATAGCGAGTTTACATCGAAAACAAAACACGCACGATGGCCCACCTACAGGATACTATTCGACAAGGCCTCACATACGAGCGAACATTGACTCACGCACGCGTATTCTTGTGTATGATGGAAGAAAATAAAGAAAATGGTGTACTAAATACTGTGCAGTATTTAACTGCCTAAATAATAATAAAACACAGAATGTACTTTTTTAAGTTGCCTCAATACACTGAGAGGTAAATAGGTAAGTAGTTAATATTATTCATGATAATTCATGCTAAATCATGTATTTCCTCCGCCATTTTCCGCAGTTTGGCACCTCACGTCACATCATTTTACCGAAGTCAGCCCTATAGCTTCGGCGCAGTGCCGATCACTGACGTTTGTCAACAAAATGGTGCTTGACTCTTGAGACAGGCTAAATTACACCATATTGTTAATAACATTGAGCATACATTTTTTTAAATACCTTCGCGAAGTAAAACTTCTGTACGTAGTACTTATTATTATTCTGTGGTAAAACTAATTACGCTGGAGGAAAAGTTAATAATGCGAAGATATTAATGTCTTGTTGCAAACCAGAAATGAAGTGGGCGAAGTTTAATAATTCATTTTACTACATTGTAGAATTGTGGCTCTCAACTTTTTATGTCAGACCCCTTAAAGAAAAAGTCTGATCACTTAACCAGTGCTTTTTCATTAGTTCGCTCGTTTTAGTCAAATAAGTCCAATGCTGGACAAAGGCCTCACCCAAGGATTCTTTGTAATAATATTTTATAATAACTAGATCTCCACTCGATTTAAATTTATTGCATTGAGACTTGAACTCATGACCATGTAAATTAAGACATGGTAGCAATCCCAACAATAATAAATAATCATGACCAGTCGCTTGTCAGCTGTATTTCTAGAAACTCTTCTTAGAAGGTAGTTAAGTTAAGGTTAAGTGTAGTGTGTATTGCAGTGTTCCGCAAAGGGCACATGACACTGGTGTACCGTGTTCATTAGATGGTGTGACTCGGAAAAATAAGTTTATAGTGAGTAGGTAAGTAAGGGTAAGATTATCAAAGGTAATAATTACTTACTTAAAAAAGTGACCTCCAAAAATTCGTTTCCTCAATGCGAAAAACTGGTGTATTACATAGTAAGTTCTTTTTTCAAGAGGAAAATCTCGTTCCCAAGAAAGTACCTTCTTCACACATTTATGAAAAAGTTATAAATGTCTAAATTGTTTGTTTGTTTTAAAGCCATTTTTATTAAAATGTAACTCGCAGACCTTCCTAGACTCTAGGGTCAGTATTGAAGTGCTAAGCTAAAATGCTAACTAGCTAAACTAGCGCCATTCACAAACATTACTATGAGGTCTCACAGTGCGCGTGGATGCACAGGGTGACACACGAACCAATCTTAGAGATCTATTCAACCAACGCTGTGCGTTTAATTTGCTGCTTCACTTAAGCAAGCATCTTTTGAGAAGTTAGGCCTTGAGAGGAGCCTTAGAAGGATCGAAACTAAAATTGATGATCCGTAAAAAGTTCCATTTAATATTATAAAAGTGGCTAATGCGGGTTTTGATGTATTGCCCTGGACGGTAAACTTCCTTTTAAGTTAGCCACATCGATTGCCTTCCTCTCGAGTGCTTTTGAATAACTAGCCTTTGACAGTGACTTTACTTATGTGGATTAGTGTACTATTAATCTTTTGTTATTGTTAAATTATGAACTTTTTTAATTATACTTACATAATAATTATTTTCAGATGTATTGTATTCCCGTATTGAAGCCAAATACGAAATATGGCTACGAAGTGGTTCAAAGAAAATCAGGTTTTTGAGATTTGTTTTATGTTATTTTACTCAGCTTTGTCATAGTTTTCCTGATATTAACTTACCTATATTTTATACTTACCATCCAATCCTGATACATAGACATTGGCAGCATAGGGAAGTTGTTTTTCTTGTTATACTCGTATTTTATTTTATCTAGTCTACTTCTGTTCTACAGACAGTAAGTACCTACGAAGACGTTTCGTTTGTTTCTTACCTACCCACTTTTATATGTTCAGCAAGACTGAAATATTTTTTTTGGGTATCTAATATTTGTAACTTTGACTATTTTTGATTAATATTCTTTAGCTGAAAATGGGTAAAATTGAGATAATCCTTTGACAATCCCACTCAAACGATGTTTACTAACGGAGCCCTTTCAGCGCGATTCAATTGATCGATTTTAAACGATTCGCATTCATCAACGTCAAAAACACAAACGACAAGTACATTACAGAGCAATTCGTATCTTGAAATATTTTTTCTAATACACAGCAATCTATCAACGCCCCAATTTTATTCGCCATAAATAGGACAAGCAGTCACCCCATAAAAATCCAAGGGGAGAGAGAGTATAGTACTATTATGTATGATAAACGACAAGGGATATGAAAAAAAGTGCAAGTTTTCGTCCATAAACATTTATTAATATAATTTATCATTTTCCATATTCCAATATTAGTAATAATACAATTATTATATTCCGTGATCAGGAACGTACAATGTAAGAAGCTACGTACAGAAGATTCTACTAGGCTGCAATACCATATACCCCCTGTCCGAGAGTCACACAGAGTACATTAAAGATTCGTTTTATTAATTATGAATTATGCATTATGACATGTTAATAGGTATTTAAAAATCTAAGTTGCCAATCGCAAATACAAGTGGCTGTTAATACAAAGGCTTATTACAGCGTCTTTCACCAAGTTTCCTTTACCGTTAGTCTCTTATATGACTAGAACATTTATTTTAAAAGTTACATATATATTTTTTTCTATTTTGTATTTGCTACTTCCTATTGACATAAGTTTACCATCAATTAGCCGCTACTCTACTACATTAGCTTACTTATCTCTACATACATACATTGCAATAAATAGAACTGTCTCCGTGACGTCGGGTCCGTTGGCAGAAACGAAAATTGAAACTAAGAGGCCAAGGACCGTCAGCCAGGGGCAGTTGGCAGAATCCGATCGGCCGAGCTTGGCGTCGGGGCGTACGGATTGGACAATAAGGCTGGGTGATTGTCCAACCACGTAAGCGGACACTCAGCGCGATCAGAAAAAGAACAACGCAAAACCGAATGAACGCGAAATGCCTAATCCTCAAACGAAAGATACCATTCCTAAATTTTGTATAATGGTCCAAAAATATTTCCGAACTAAAATCTAGGTCCCTGTTTTTCGATTCGAATCTCTCTAAGCGATAGCTCTTAAGAAATACTACTGAAGGTGTGGGAAGTGGAAACGAATAAAACGCAACGGGTCCGTGTTAATAGCTGTGGTTGTGGCATCCAATGGAACGGCGGTCAAGTCGGCTGGCTGGAGTTGGTCGCCGCTTCAGGGGAGCTGGTGGTGGGTGAGGGGCTTTTACCCCCACTTTTGGAAGAGCCCCATGCGCTGGCAGCGACAGTTGGAGCCCCAGAGGTTGCAGCGGCAGGAGGAGGAGTGGCAGCAGTCCCCAGGGCGATGGTCGCAATTGCCACCTCTCCGGATACAGGCGCGCCTGAAAACGTAGATCAGCGACGATCGTCTGAAACCACATCATCACATCCTAGCCTAAGTTCGTGTTCGTGCTCTAACAACGTAAGTGCGGGCATGCAGACTGTTTGGGAATATCTTAGTACACAAGCACTTCACTCGGGGATAAATCTGAACTGAGGCAAAATGTACAAAAGGGACATCCAACTGAAGGTTCTAATTTTTAAAACATTACTCGATATGAAAAGAGATTATTTAAAAACGATGATCTTATTACAAAATTCTGAAATCTTGTACCTACTTATTGGATTGTTCGGAACTAAAATAAGTGACCTAGAAAGTACAATCAACGGATACTTTACGCTTTCGCCTGTCCTTTCACGAATTCAATTTCTCCAACAACTTAATTCCATTCTGTTGCCATAAAATTTCTGAGACTTTATTTTAGCACAGAAGAAAAAAAATATTTTTCTGTAATAAGACCATGGCATGCCATCTATACAAATATGAATTGAGAACACCATCAATATATCACGAAACTCCATCGTCTAAATTGGATTTTTGGTATGTTCTGGAAAAAGAACTCACTTTCCTACATCCTGAAGAAGCTGCAGGTCTGCTGGGTCCTCCCCGTAGTCCGGCAAGTTCACCTCTACGTCTTCGTCACCTGGAGAGAGAAAATGAGTAGTAAGTTCTTAATCATCATATTTTTAGCCCATGTCTGTGTTTCTCCCTAAGTACTGAAATCCGTATTATGTAAACTAGAGGGACATAAAGCTCAAGTATTTGTGTCGATTTATTAAATTTAATACTACTATCGTACTCAAAGCATCGATACATCAGCATCACTATGACAAATAAAATATGCCATGTGGTCCCAATAAGAAACAAATATGCGAACATCAGGACTCACTAAATGACAGTTAAAATGACGTCCACTACTAGACAAATGCCTCCCCCAAACGTGGTATGAATTTATTATGAGAAGAATAAGCAGAAATATTGGAACATTATTTTGCAATATAGACAATTAGACATGTCAAGAATTAAGTAAAACTAAAGCTCTCATATAAAAATCTTTAGCGTAACAGGGGTCCAAATGTGTTATTTACATGCTAATTCGAAAACCCACACAAAATTGGAAGGTGGCAAACGTAAATGTCACGCGCGTTAAATATTCAAGCCGAAAGATGGCCGAAACCCAAATGCTTTCGGCACCTGATTGTGGAATTAGATTATATGGCGTATTCACACCCTAATTACAAAGAATCCGACCCTCGTTAGTGAGTCGAGTGTGAAAGCGTGAGTTTTCAGAGATTTTCATGTAATTATCACAATGAGGACGCGTTAGGTCTCCAAACTAGTGTTGTGAAGAGTAAGCAACTTTTCAGCTGGTGTATTTTATTCGACCATTTTAAAACGAAAGGGTTCAGTGAACTTAAATGATAGCCTCTTTTACCACCTCCGAGTAAAGTATTAATTAGTTACTTACCTGATTACCACTACTTAGCAAGTAAAGTCCAGTGTACTCGCGACGCCTCTAACCGTCAGAAATAGAAGCATATCGCCAGGAGAGCTACCCTCGGAGATACTATACCATACCACTCCACCATGTACCTCGTCAGCGCAACCACGACCACTCTGACAAGAGTGCCCGACTAAGAAGAAGAATAGGCAAGTAAAATAAGAAGTATTTTAGCGTTATTCAGAGATGGTGAAATTAGATAAATTGCTGCTCGTGAGTTTAAGCAACGAATAGCTTTGACACTTTACTCGGATATGGTGAACGAGGCCCTTACTCTGCCATTTTTCTCAACTGACAGCTCACATTCTTCTTGTTGTCGTGTCGACAACAACCTACATCTAACCTTGGCGTTAATTGCCAGCTATTTTTATAAAATAATTCAAGTACCTACCTTAATCTTGTGGCTACCAACTCGGATAAGAGTTTTTCGATATATCTGGCAAAATGACACGTTTAAGACTAAGGTTAGCCGACATAACCAAAGAATAATGTGATATAACACACATCACTACCGTCTATGCCATATTCACAAAATGGCTTTGCTAATCAGAGTGTGGCGGCTCGGCGACGAATTTGGCATTAGACGCGGCTCACCTAGCAATTTAGACCTTAATTAATGCTTAAAGTTAATAGGGCCTCCTGAATCTCTTACAACTTACGCAGTATATTTTATGAGTGGTGATTCAACTTTATTGTTGAACCTGTGAATGCCGCGTGTTTGACGATTTTAACAAAATTATAGTTACAAGGCCAGGCAGATTTAGTCAAGGAACACTTCCACTCTGGGGTGCGATGGTGAGGGACCTCCTCGTGGTGCACCCTGGGCAACGTCCGCGTGGTCTGTTCACGCGGGCGGCTAACTTCTCACCTGCGCGGCAGGTCTCGTCAACTCGGCGGGCCTGTCGGGCAACCCGTAACCCACAATTGAGTGGGCCGGGGGCCGTCGAGGCATTTGCCCGGGCCACGATGCAGGGGACATCTTTAAAAACCCCCACAGGTGGGGGCTGGCGGGGCGTTTGCCCGGGCCCATTCTTTGGAGGGCCGCTCTCGGTACCTCTCTGATCAGCAGAGCTGACCGAGCAGCGGCATAGAGCAGACCGTAACCCGCTACGGCGGGCCGGGGGTCCTGTTTTACCAGGGCCGCGAGGAGAAAACCTCTATAAAAAACAACTGGAGGAGGGGATTGGGGGTTCCCTCGAAGCCAGAGAGGCTTGCTCTTGGGCTCTGGTGGAAACCGTCGGGTTTTAGTGGGTAGGCCCCGCCTTTAGTGGGTAGGCGGGGAGAGTCCCACATAACCCACTGGCCGTCCCCATAGACCAGTGGGTATGCGCAAAGCATTTCCCGACGAAAAAAAAAAAAAAAAAAGGAACACTTCCACTCTTGCAATGGATGTTATAAAAGGTGACTAACGTCCGTATTCACAAANCAAAGAAATTATTACATTGGTTTACGGAGGATTTCGGATCGTCTTTGTTTTGTATGAGGTTAGTGGAATAATTATTTAAAGGCTTGTTTAAATGGCATATGTCTTTTATTGTATGCCAGAGTTTCTTCGGATTATTTTTGTTAGCAATTAAGTTTTGGTTTTCGTAGGTATTTTTAGTCTTCTGAAGGATACTGTTTAGAAAGTTACGATATCTTTTGTACGATGTGACTATTACTTGATTTTCCGGATTTTGCTTAGCTTTAAGGTGGAGACGATCCCTATGTTTCTGGCATCTAATCAAACCAGGTGTAATCCACGGTTTAAGATTGAACTTCGAGCGGCTGACTTTGATTTTTGTTGTACTACTTACTATAGCGTCGTTTATGATTTTACTCAATACGGATACTGCTTCATTAGTATCTTGACATTTAGTAACTGATGTCCAATCTGCTCCTGAAATTTTGTGTACAACTGATTCATTTTCTATTTTGAGTCGAAAACGGGTTATGGGATTTCTAGGCGGGCCGACTGCTAATCCTAGTAGGCAAGTGTAGTGATCTGTAATGTCCGTAATACAGACCAGTCCGACTGCCTGGTCGGGTTTTTTCACGAAAAAGTGGTCTAGACAAGCGTTCGCTCTGGTTGCCTTGGTTATTGCTGGGATAAGTTGGTGTTCGCTCAAAAGAGACACGTACTCGGCACACTGTTCACTCAGGGGTTGGGCGCAGAGGTCTAGGTTTATATCGCCTGTGAGTATGATTTTCTTATTTTTACTATTTACTAAGATAGAATTAAGGGATGACAAGAACTTACTTACGTTTGTGAAAGCGGGTGACCTATAAATCCCTAACATCAATAAACTCCCATCCAATTCGATCTCAAGGCAGTTACAGTCTTCACACAAAGACTCGTTAACACTATATTGTAGGGAGTTCTTAATGTAAGCAGTAACTCCGCCACTCTTGTTTATAAATTTATGAGTCCTAAATGAGCTGTAACCAGGCAATTCTGGAATAATAGAGTTCTCGTTTAACCAGCATTCTGTCAGGATTATGACGTCCAGGTTCATGTTTAGACGTTTAAGAGTAATCAGAAGTGAATGAAAGTTAAGTTGTATGCTTCTTATGTTTAAAGTTAGACATTTAAAATTGAGTTCCGGGCTTAAAAAATCTGAACAAGATTCTATGTTATCGAGCGAGTGACAATCTATAGATAGAGTATCGTCGAAGTCTCTCATTAAATTAGTCATTTTTAAATATTATTATACCTAAAAGACTGGAAAAAGATATGTCAAGTAGGGAATATAAAGATAGATTGTACTCGCTAATTCGGAACTCTTTGTTTTGTCCTCTGTGTGTGATGTAAGTGTGCGTGTGTAGTATGGGTGTGTGAGAGAGTGTAGTCAGTGTAGTGATAAATAAGTTTGTTAAAGGAAGTAACGTAATATAGTAATGAGATCGTATTTGAGCTAAACCTATTACGACATTAATTGAACTATACAATCGATATATTAGTAAGGTGGATAAAATAAGTAAGTTTTCATAAGGCTTATACATATCTGAAGGACTCGGCTTATGCAGGTGTAACTTCTTTCTGGACAGCTGTCCCGACGTGATCTTCCAGGTCCTTGTGAGTTGAGATTCGGATAGCCGGTTTGTTGTCTGCTTTTCTGACGAAGATAGAGCCGTTTCGGGTCCAGCAGTAACGAAACCCATGTTCGCTGGCGCGTGACCGAGCTTCACGAAATAATTTCCGATTCTCTTTGGAGAGCCTCTCGTTAAAAAATATCCTGGTCGGTTCACCGTCTACAAGACCCTCCGATGTCACATTTCGTCTGGTTTTCGCCGCATTCATAACATCATCCCGTTTTCTTTTCCTTGTTAGTTTAACAACAATAGGACGTGGACGTGAAGCGTTGTTTTGGGATGGTCTGTTCGGGGGCTGGCGGCTTCTAACGCCTACTCTTACCACCTCGTCAATGTCCGATTCATTCAACTCGATTCCAATTTTTTTAGATGCCATCATAGCAACATGGTAAAGGTTTTCGTTGTCTCTTTCTGCTAGTCCAACTATTTCTAGATGGTTTTTCATACCTTCTTGTTCCTGTGAGGCGATTTGTTGTTGGAGAATTACGACTGTGGTCTTCAAATCCGCGATCTCCAGCTTCGCCCTCTCCATCTGCTTTGAGTGCTCTTTTAGCGTTTGATGTAGGGTGTCAGAGATAGAGGACATTTCCTTTTTGATGTCTAAGTTTTGATGTTTTACTTCACTTAATTCGTTTCTCAATTGCCGCAATTCAGCAAGCAGGGAAGACATATCAGCATTTGGGGATGGGTGTTCATCTGCCATCTTCGATTTTAAAGTCTGCGACTTAGTTCCCCTGGACATTTTCAACACTTAGATTTCGCGCGACGTAAAGGCGGAGGCGGGCGGGGAGCGGCGGGAGGCAGGGCGCGGGTCAAGCCGCGAGCGAGCGAGCTGCGGGTTGTCGTAGGTCAGTGATACGCGGCCGTTAATGAAATTTTGGACTGTTTTTGCTTCTATTTCTTGAATGACGAATTATTGTAGAAAACTGTTTGCACTAATAGATCGACCGGTTCGTTAGCTTTAATGTGGTACTAAACACTGTGTAAAAACTTCACTTTTTCCATGGTTTCCGAATAAAATTCGCGGAGCGTAATAAAACGCGTCCTTGTAGACCGGTGTCCCAGACAATAGCCTTTCAAACATTACTATGGGGTCTCACAGTGCGCGTGGACACACAAAGTCACACATGAACCAATCACAGAGCTCTATTCAACGATGTGGGTTCGATTTGCTACTTCACAAGGCCAAGAATTTAGTATAGAGTGTAGGCTAAATCCGCCATTTGCATTTGGTAAATTTGAGAGGCTCATGCTCTGCAGTGGAGACAAAATTACTTGATGATGGTGATGATGATGATAACGACGTTAATACTGATGATTATGATGGATATAAAGATGACGATGATGTCTAAGATGAAGATGAGAAAAAAAGAGAAAAAGATGGTGATGGTGATGTACCTGGATCAATACATATAAGACGCGTGCGCCCACTCCGCAGCAAGCAGCACTATAGAGCGCTGGTGAGCGGTATTTTATCATTATGATGATGATGACGACAATGATGATGATGAAGAAGAAGATGATGATGATGATGTACCTGGATCAATATAAGACGCGTGCGCCCACTCCACAGCAAGCAGCACTAAAGAGCGCTTTTTATTATGATGATGATGATGATGATGATGATGATGACGATGATGATGATGCTGATGATGATGATGATGATGATGATGATGATATACCTGGATCAATATAAGACGCGTGCGCCCATTCCGCAGCGAGCAGCACCGCCGCTAGCGCCACTAAGAGCGCGCCGGCGCGCGGCATTCTGCCCATACCAACCGCTGCTTGCCTGCAACAAACTTACTGTGAGTCCCAAGGCCTCAGCCTCGAATTTAGTGGGCAGCGGGGCGGCGGCGGTAGCGGCGCAGGAGCGGCAGGATCATATGCGTAAAATCAAATAGACCGGTTCTCGAAAACGGCGCGAGAGCGGGCAACGAGCGGGCAGCGCACTCCTTTTGCCCACAATAAATCGAGCGTTAGGAATAAATTTGAATCGAAATAAAATTGTCGCCGTTGTTCAGACATTTCGTTTGCGAATAAAAACAAATATCTCGACAACACAACCCCGAACACAACACTTCGCCGCTAAAGCGCCGCGCGAGCTGCCCGCTTGTTTGGAGAACGGGTCTGCGTTGCCCGCCCCGCTCCCGCGCCGCCGCCGCTCCCGCCCCGCTGCCCGCTAAATTCGAGGCTGAGGCCTAAAGGTCTAGGGTATGGTTCCCAAAGGAGCCAAAGTATTAGAGCGCTTTCACATTTAGGCGATTGAACAGCGCGACAAACGCGCGACAGACGCGCTGCCGACAATTTCATACTATGTGACAGCGGATGCATGCCTTCACAATACATTATAAAAACGCCGCTGCCGCGCATCGCGCTTCTAACGCCCTAATGTTAAAGCGCTTTTAGTGAAAAAAGTTTGAACTGATTTTCTGATTCAAATGGATTTTGAATTCGAAAGTCATTGAAAACTACAATTATTTTATACCTGTGTATACCGTGTGCGTGTATTTCAGTTATTTACAGCTCTGTTTAATCACGTACTGATACCTAAGTACCCTTTTAGGAACTTATCTAATTTACTTGTGATGATAAATACACCATATCATTTTACAAGTCTAAGATACACGTAGATTTAGCTGGCAGCCAGACACCGTCAAATGATAGTGTTTCGTACCGAAATA